AAAGATTATCACAACTATCTTTTTTGACAAGAAATGACTCCCACATGCTTCTAAATGAGAAAGTTTAATGATACTACTTACCTCATTGTTAGGAATACATCCTTAAAATATTTGATCAGGACAATATTTGAATAAGTTAGGGCCATCCCAATAAAAGTTCTTTACTTTGTTCAAAACTTTTCCTTTGTCTTGGGTACTCCAATGAGCTGACAAATCTCCTAAAGCAAGAAAATTGATGTTTTTATCATACCAAGGTATTTGATTAAGAAAAAATAAGGATTCATTAGAAAAGTAATCATTGATTGGTATGATGTCAGATGTTGAATCTATTGTCACTCTTAACAAAATGTCTGCATCAATATTTTTGATGCCTTTTTCATCCTTGATTGCTTCCTGAGAATAAATCATTTACAAATCTTCAAATTCATCCGAATCATTTTTACTTAAAGTAGATTCAAGTTGATCATAAACTATTTTCTTAATATGATCTACTTCTTGTAATTCATTATCATCTCTAGGTTGCTTGCAAATGTTGAAAATATTCATCTCCAATGTCATCTTTCCAAATGATAGCTTCATTAGTCTATCCCTACAATTAATCAATGTATTAGAAGTTTTAAGAAATGAACGTCCTAAAATAATAGAAAATGAATTACATGCTTCAATAGGTTGTGTGTAAGACAATAAAATTCATAAGATAAATGAATTTATCGACTTGTACTAACACATCTTCAACTATTCCTCTAGGCACTTTTACAGATCTATCAGCAAGTAAAAGAGATATAGAAGTTGGTTTTAACTCACCTAGATTAAGACTCTGAAAAACTGAATATGGAAGTAAATTCACACTAGCACCAAGATCAAGTAAAGCTCTTTCAATTTTATGCTCTCCAATAAAGCAGGAAATTGTAGGACAACCAGGGTCTTTATATTTCAAAGCATTATTGTTCTGAAGAATGGCAATTACTTATTCAATTAAAAAGGCTTTCTTTTTCACATTCAGTTTCCTCTTCACAGTGCATAGATCTTTCAAAAATTTAGCATAGGAAGGAACCTGTTTAATAGCATCCAGCAAAGGTATATTGATCCTTACCTGTTTGAAAATTTCATAAATTTCAGAATTGTGATTGACTTTCCTTTGTTTGGTCATGGCTTGACAGGAAATGAATGTGTTAGCGGAGAATCAGTCTTTTCTTAATAATTTTCAGATTCAACCCCTTCTTTTCCCTTAGAGATTGACTCATCATCTTTCTCATAAGGTTCAAGAGTGGGTTTTTCAATAACGTTATCACTGCGAAGAGTAGTGACTGATTTAACTTGATCAATGTGATGACTTTCAGAACTACTTACATTTGCATTGTATTGCCCCTTGAGATTTTATTGTGGTTGAGATGGAAACTTACTTTTCTCTTGGAAACTGAGAGCAGATGTCAATTTTGTAATAGTATCTTTAATATTTGTCATGCTTTGAGCAAGTTGAGTATTGATTGTCTCTTGCTTTTCAATGAATGCATGCAATGTTTCCTCAAGATTTCTTCTAGGAGGTGGAGCATAAGGAGGTGCATATCCATAAGAATTTTGGAAATTATGGTGTGCTTGAAACGGTGGTTGTGAAGTTTGTGCATTGTCACTCTTCCAACTGAAATTTGGGTGATTCCTCCAACCAGGGTTGTATGTTTGGGAGTATGGGTTGTGGTTGGCCCTTTGAAAACTGTTTAAAGCATGGGCTTGTTCATGGAGACATTCCTTAAAAGAAGGCAAGGCAAGCACAAATTGATCCTGATATTAAATTTTATAGCAATTTTTTAGCTTTATCTTTTAATAAAAAAGATAAAAGTTTTAATCTAATGGTGTTCATGCTACAATTTGAGTCATTATAGGTGTTACAGACCTCCTCAAATTCCCTTAAATGCAAGTATGGATTTTTCAAATCTAAGTCATGAAAACAAGGTAAAAGTTGAATAATGTTTGACTTAAAATTAAAATGAGATGTATTAGAGGGGAAAACTATGCATGAGGGTGCACATATTCTTGTGGGATTCATGTGGTCTCTAAGTGTTCTAGCATGGTTATTCTCATTATAAAATGACTGGTTATCTTCTTTAGCCATATTTTTTGAAAATGATGAGGATACCCTATAAAATTTATTACTTAATGTACGTGACCACACTCTCATGCACGTGTAGGAGTAGAATAAAAGGAAAAAAGAAAACAAAAGTAGAAGAAACAAAAGAAAAAGATACAAAAAAAAAAGAAGAAACAAAGTTAGATACAAGAAAACTGAAAAGATAAAATAAAATAAAAATTATAATTTATACAAGAATTTACCTCCCTAGCAATGACATCAAAAACTTGACATGACCAAAATATTGATGTTTTCTTCCAGGTGCAGGAGTATCGAAGTTATAAATAACCTGGCAAGACCAAGGTCGAACCATAGGAAAGTTAATTGTATAAATTATAGATAACAATAATGCAACAATAACAATAACAACAACAATAGTAACAATACTACTACTACTAATAATAATAATAATTAAAAAGTTGATGAGAACGTTGAGATGAAAGATTAACGTAAAGATTAAATAGTGATAATAACAAATGTCAAGGTTAGAGGTTCCACTAATGGTATATCAAACAAGTATAGTATAAACTCTTATTAGTCAATTGGGAAACCATGCACAAAGAAGGTTCCAATCATATTATAAATTATTAATATAATTATATTAGATATTTTATTCAATTAATGCTAATACTTATAAATATTACCTTATCTTTTTATCACTAAGATAATAGCAAAGAAATTTATGGAAGGCATGATCAAATTACATGGCATGCCCAGCTCTATCATCGGCGACCTTATCCCATTTTTAAAAGCAATTTTTGGCACGAATTCTTTAAATTGTCGGACACACAATTGAAGATGAGCTCCGCATACCATCCACGAATGGATGGTCAAACCGAAGTCATCAATCGTTGTGTAGAGCAATATTTGCGTTGCTTGGTTCACCAGCAACCAAAGAGATGGTACCCTCTTCTTCTCTAGGCATAATTTTGGTATAATACAGCCTACCATGCTTTGACCAGCATGTCACCTTTTCAAGCTCTGTGTGGTCGACCTTTACTTATGATTCCACACTATCAGTTGGTCTTTTCTCCTGTTAATGAGGTCAACGAAAACTTGGCATCACGCAATGACATTCTCAAACAGCTTAAGCTCAACTTACATTAAGCTTCCAACTAGACGAAAGAATTGGCCGACACCGACGTGACAGCCAATTCAATGATGGCAACCTTGTTTTCTTTAAACTACACCCTTATCATCGGCACACATCGTTCCAACGAGCATATCAGAAACTAACTCATAGGTTTTATGGGCCCTTTCCAATTGAAAAACACATCGGCAAGGTAGCATATCAACTCCAACTTCTTGCAGGTTCTCACATCCATCAGGTATTCCATGTATCTTTGTTGAAAAAGAAGATTGGTGAATCCATTACAAGTTGTCCTACTTTGCCACCTCGCAGCGATGATGGTGCCATCATCATAAAACCTGAAGTAATCATAGATACTCGCTGGATCAAAACAGGGAGGAAATTTTGTGCCAAAAGCTTGGTCAAATGGAAACACCTTCCTAATGAAGAGGCCACTTGGGAGAATGCAGCCGAATTGCAGGAAAAGTTTCCTGAATTGAACCTTAAGGACAAGGTTCCTGTACAAGTAAGGGGTATGATAAACCATGAAGATCTCAGCATGTTTCTTGGCCATATCAGAAATACTTGGACTGAGTCCTGGACTGTAACATTCAGAAAAGAAGTCCAGTTGGCATTTGTTAGTGGAGTCCTCTGCAAAGTTGGTTATTTCTGCTTCCATGATCTTATTGTTAATGGAGTCCTATTTGCCTGCAAAGTTGGTTAATTGTGTTTCCATGATTTAATTTTAGTTATGCGTGTTTGTCATAAGTTTAGGAAGAGTAGTTGCAAATTACATGTATTTAAACTCTTTCAATGAATAAGAAAAGGACAGAAAAATATATTCCAAAATTGTGGTTTATCTCACATGAAAGATTAACTTATTTTTATAGCTTGGTACCTGTCATTATTCCAGTTTTTTAATTCGAGTTTAATGGATTAATTTTTGTTGATTTAAGTTAATTTTTTATTTTTTTAATTCAATTTTTCAATATTAGATTGATTGAGAATTAAACTTTATTTTTTTATTTAATTTTTATATAGTGATCATGGTCTTATAACCCGGGTTGGAGTTAGGTCAGTTGACTCGAGGTTTTTTTTGTTTTTTTTAGTTGATATTTTTACAATCTCATATTTCAATATTGATTTGATTTGGAATTAAACTTTTTAATTTGTTTAGGTTTGTATTTTTGAGGTTATCTTAGTTTAATAACTCGGGTCATAGGTTTGGTCGGTTAATTCAAGTGATTTTTTATGTTTTTTTTTTAATTGCATCCTTTAACATCAGGTTGGTTGAGAATTGAGTTATATAATTTATTTTGATTTGATTCTATGAGGTTATTTCGGTTCTATAACTCAGGTTTCATAGGTTAATCCGAGTTGATTCAATTTATTTTTAATTTTATTATTCAACATTGAGTTGATTAAAAATTGATTTTAATTATAAAAATTATTCGTTTAATATAGAGTTATTAGGATCTCATAGCCTGAATAATGGATTTGATAAGTATCTCAGTTGATCCGAGTCAATTTAATATATTTTTATTTTAATATTTAAAAATAAATATCATCTTTATTTTTTTCAAACTATATTTTTATCTATTATTCCAGTTATTTTCAAATTTGTTAAATCAATTAAATTATATCAAATTAATCCTCATATAATTTAAACTTTAACATTAAAAAACAGATTAATAATACCTAAGTATTTTTTCACTTCTAAAAAAAATTAATTGGACCATCAGAAAAATAATTTAGTTTATTTTTTTAAAATAAAATATAAAAATATTGTTCATTTTAAGGCTTATTTTATTTATTCTTCTCACTTCCCTGGTCCGTCCTTGACAAATGTGCGTGAACTTCTTTCACCGTCGCCTACTCGGCCTTAGTAAACCCCAAGCATTCAAACATCTCCATTACAGTCTTGCTCCAAATCCCACGCCTTTTGACTCTCAGTTTCCAACAAAGCAACCACCATCTTCACAGCATTCAAACCAAGAACCACCTAAAACTATAGCATCCCAATTATCTAACTGCACCAGTTTACAAGAATTGAACCAAACTTATGCCCATGTTATCCGCACCCGCGTTCTAGACGTTTACACTGCCCCATTTCATTGGAACAACTTAATAAGATGTTATACTAGACTTGGTGCTCCTAACAAAGCGCTACAAATCTATGTATCCATGTCCCATGCCGGTATCTCCCCTGATAATTATACGCTTCCTATTGTCTTGAAAGCCGCATGCCAGTGTTTTTCTATGGAGCTTGGTAGGCAGCTTCATTCCATTGCGATAAGGCTTGGCCTTGTGTTGAACGAATATTGTGAGAGTGGTTTCATTAGTTTGTACTCAAAATCTGGAGATTTTGGGGATGCATATAAAGTGTTTGAGGAAAATCTTAAGAGGAAGTTGGGTTCTTGGAATGCTATTATTGGAGGTCTTTGTCAAGGTGGGCGTGCAAAGGAAGTAATCGAGATGTTTATCGAGATGAGAAGTTGCGGGTTCAAGCCCGATGATGTGACCATGGTTAGTGTGACTTCAGCTTGTGGGATATTAGGGGATTTGCATTTGGCCCTTCAATTGCACAAGTATGTTTTTCAGGCCAAAAGTTTTGTAAAACCTGATATGTTGATGTTGAATTCACTCATTGACATGTATGGGAAGTGTGGTAGAATGGACTTGGCTTATATGGTATTTTCAAGGATGGACCAAAGAAACGTGTCATCTTGGACTTCGATGATAGTCAGTTATGCGATGCATGGGCGAGCCAATGAAGCTATTGAATGTTTTAGTTGCATGAGAGATGCCGGTGTGAGGCCTAACCATGTGACTTTTATTGGGGTACTAAGTGCATGTGGGCATGGTGGTCAGGTGCAAGAGGGAAGACATTATTTTGATATGATGAGGAATGACTATGGAATAATGCCCCGATTGCAGCATTATGGTTGCCTGGTGGATCTGCTTGGCCGAGCAGGGTTGCTGAAAGAAGCTAGGGAGATTGTTGAGGGGATGCCAATGAAGGCAAATGTGGTAATATGGGGGTGTTTGTTGAGCGCCTGTGAGAAATATTCAGATGTGCAGATGGGAGAGTGGGTGGCAAAGCATTTACTAGACTTGGAACCTTGGAATGATGGGGTGTATGTGGTTTTATCCAATATATATGCTAGCAGAGGCTTGTGGCTAGATGTTGAGAGAGTTAGATTGTTCATGAAGCAGCGAACGCTAGCTAAAATCCCTGCTTATAGTTTGACAACAACTTTGAATTGTAGGATGTAAGTCTCATTTTCATAAAACTAAGTCTCATTTTCGTAAAACAAAATCCAAAAGAAACAGTTTGGTCCTTTTTTGTGTGTTCGTGTGGCTGGGGGAAGGGAGAATCGCTGTTTTGTTGTTAGCTGACTCAGTTGTGATCTTAATGTGGTGGTTCTTTTGAAAAACTCGTTCCTACTTTCTTTATCATACAAACATGACCAATGATTGAAAATCTGACCAGATCATCGAGTTGGAAGAGAGTCAGGGATTAAACATTAACTGCGCTAACCCAGACAATGATCTTGTAATGTTTTCAATATGATCTAATAAACAAATTTGTGTACTTGCTTCATATATATAAAAAAGTTTTACAATGATACATGTCTATTCTATCCTGCAGAAGTTTTGGCGGGTTGTCTATGAAAGTGTTATAGTCATGTACAAGTTTTTCAGGTTGATGCATTTGAAAATCTACTTGGTGTTTCTAGAATTCAAAACAGATAAATAAGCATATCTCTGGAGATGATGGAGGGGGCAATTAATAAGAAGGACCATCTTCCCTTGAATCAAGAAGATAATATACCTCTCTGAAAACTAGAGATAGACTCCGAATTATTCCACCAGATATTCTGTGTGTGTTTTGTAGGCAGGAGGAGACTCACAACCACTTATTCTTTGCTTGTCATTAGACCTCTCTATTATGGGGGAAAATAAAGACTTAGCTAAGAATAACAAGGAGTGTGTCCACTCTGAACAGTGCCCTTAGGGGATTAATCCCAAGAAAAAAGGCCCTTGAAGCTAGAATGAGAAGAGTATCTCTAGGTATTGTCGTCTATTTGATTTGGGAGGAGAGGAACAAGAGGATCTTTGACAATACTTGTCATCCAGTGGATGTTATTTTCCGCAAATTGCAAGTAATATTCTACGTGATTCTTCACTTTCATGAACAAAATCACTTCTCTCTCAATGTAGGATGAATCTTGTCTGTTCTCTGTGATGTCCAGAGCTGTGTGCTTGGTCACTGCTGTAACAAGGTTTCCTCTGTTGCCCAAGTTTCTATGAAAGCTTCTGGCGAATTTTTCCTAGAAAGAGCTCTCAGTCAGCTGATTTGCTTCTCTGATTTACTGGTGATCTGGCGGGATATGTGGCAATGGTACTGGCATGTCCTCTATCTGCAGTGTTTCGCTGTCATAACTGATGGTTCTGCCTCCCTGGTTTTAATTGGCTATCTGCTAATGGAAGATTATTGCACTGGTGATCTGCTCTGCTGCATCTTGATCTTTCCTTGTTCACGGGGGCTGCTGCTACATTCTCTGGTTCACAGCTTTGCTAAGTCACGGCTAGAGAGAGAATCTGCTGTCTTTCTTTCCCTTTGGCCATGGTGTCTGTTGCTGTCTTTCTTTCTTGCTGTTTGGTTTGAAAATATGCTACTTTCATATTGTCCTGCCTCCTCTCGGTATTGCCAGCTATCTTGGGATCCTGGACTCTTGCCAGTTTGGATGCCCTCTAGATGCCCCTTGTAGCTGTTTTGCTGTTGTCTTTATTAGTGGCACATCCTCTCTGCTGTGTCTTCTGTCCTGCTTATGCGGATATGCTGCTCCTCATGCATGGTGTGGTGTAGTTACTGGGTTTTGTCAGCCTTGGATAGCTCAGCGCTCCTTCTGCCGTTGTTCTTTGTTTTAGCCTTGCTTTTGTTTCCTTTGCTGGCGGTTGGGTTAATTTTGACACCGGCAATACTTGTTTGGTTTCTTCATTAACCTTTGCTCACTATGGAATGTTTGGCCTTGCATGGCTAATCTTTTGCTGGGAGCATGTTCCCTCTTTGCGTTTATTGAACATCATATATATATATATATATGCATCTCATTCTCTGCTTACCGGATAGTTGGCCTAAGTATGTATAACCTGGCTCTATCTGGTTTGGTTCTGATTGGGAGTCTGTTCCCTTTTATTTTCTTTAGTTTTTGTACATGTATCTGAACTTGCTGGTTAACCAGTATAGTTATTTTTTTTTTTAATCTTAATACATATTTACGTTGTAATTAAAAAAAAAGAAAAAGAAAATAAAGAAGCTAATATAACTGTGAGCTTGCGGAGTTTCAATGAAGCTCCAGAAGTTATAGAGAGCTGAAAGGGTATGTTCCTCGTGAAAGTGTTGTGTTTGCTCTGAAGGGTAAGATTTCCAAGAGGCATAACATTCATGAGAAGGCAATGCTTCATTTCGGTCTGGTCTGGTTTTGCTACAATTAAGGTGATTGGATTATCTCACTTGTATCTTTTGCTTTTTGAAAGTGGGTGTTGAACCTGAAATTATAGATATAGTAGCAAAACGGTGCGCTAGGAAAATTATCGTATCATATTTTATTTAGAAATTCATAGCATTAGTCAAACACTCTCCATATGGGAACCTCAGTATCATACATTTTTTAACAAGTTGATTTCAACTGGATCGAATGCCTCAAATTCATTCGTTATGGCGGTTTCTACGTGATCTAATCTTGTTTTTAGTGGTTTTAGTCAGGCCATAACTTGGATTCTTAATTGTGCATATGAATTGTTTCTTCACCGCTAGCATGGAGTTTCTGCTGCTCTTTTTTATTTCTTCATATTTAACATGCTTGAATTGTGTTCAGTAATCTGGTAATGATTATATTTTAAAGAATTTTTTATTTAAAAATATATTAAAATAATTTTTTAATTTATTTTTTATATTAACATTTTAAAACTAACCAAAATACTAAAAAAGCTATGTGTAAAAGAGAATCAAGAAAAATAGAAAACACAACAAAAACTATCTAGCTCAGAACTGATAAGGTTTTATCATTCACATGTGCTTGTTTATAAATGACTCATTCTTTCATTCATTTCCTTCATCAGGGTCCACCCATTGAATCTTGTGGCTATTTTTTTTAGCACATTTTAAAAAAATATTAGCAAAATAATATAGTAAAAAAAATAGGAAATAGTATAATTTATACATGTTGCAATTAGAAATTTTGATTTTTATAGTTTGTCACCATTCAAAATAACAATATCGTTTAAAAAATAGTAAATGAGTATGAGAGAGGAGAGAGAAAAAAAATAAAAAGACATAAGAAACATATTAAAATTTTGATTATGAGATCATATGTATCATAAAAAAAATCATGATGAGATGAATCAAACAACACCAAAAAAGATTATCAATAATGACCTGAGTGAGCCACATTTATCTTCCAAATATGGAAGGTGATTTTTAGAGGCAAGTGTGACCTATTTCATTTATTATTGATGATCTTTTTTAGTATTGTTAGATTAATCTCGTTAAAATATTTATGATATAATACATGTGATGTCGTAATCGAAGTTTTAAGGTATTTTTTGTGTCTCTTTATTTTTTTTTATCTTTTTTTCTCTCATCCCTTCTCTCTTTTACCCATTTAATATTAAAAAAAATCATTATTCTAAATAAAAACAAGTTATATAATTTGTGTTTTTCAATCGTGATATGTATAAATTGTGTTATTTTGCTAAAAAAAAGTTTCAATTGTGTTATTCCACCAATACTTTTAATTAATTATGCTAATTAAAAAAAAAAAACTAGACTAGTGATCCCAAGCATTTATAAAGCAAGGTAAAGAACATAAACTTGTAATAGGATTGGAAACAAAAATCTACTATTAGTTTTAATCATAAAACTAAATATTTAGAATTATATTTAAATCATCAAAGATTTGACATGTTGTCGTATATAAATAAAATTATTACAAGTAAACTAAAAATAATGTATATGTAACATACTTAGTCATTAAAAAACTTAGAATTGCATTCAGATGATAATTTGTTATTGTTAAGAGTTAATTATTTATCATTAAAATTTATTGATAATTTCTTAATACAAACATGATGCATAATTAACATCTCAAAATTCCAACATCATCTTGTCTAGTTGTATTCTTATATAAGGTTTATAAATTTAAAGAAATATTATATAAGCATCTCTTTACAATAACAAAATCTAAACTATAGAATAGAAGAAAGACAAAGGAAAAACAAAGCTAAAAACTAAAGAAGGTAAGTTGAAAATCAAGGTGAAGAAAGTCTCAAAATATGTAAAACCCTTTTTCTTCAATCCTATTTTGTAGTGAATTTTAGAACCAAAATTGTAATTTATTAGCCTTAATTACCTACCATAAAAAAAATTTAACCTAATATTTTTTTTTTACTTTAAAATCTAGCATCTTTTGCATTAAATAAAACTATATTTAGGTTAAAGAAGAATACTTTTCTGACTCTTTATTTATGTGTTGGACAAACTAATGGACTAGTAAAAAAATAATTTCTTATGGGTTGAAAAATTATTTAATAATTAACTCAAACTCAAGTACAAAATAAGTTAGAAAAAAACAAACATAAACCTAAACTCAAGTTTATAACTTTGGACATGTAGCCCAAAGCCCAAGTCGAGTCAAGTCATGCGCGCATATATTTAAATCCAAAGCTACTTGGTTTAAACTCAATTTTTCACTATATAAAAAATAAGAAAAATATATAAACAACAAGAAAATTTTTTATTTTCTTAATGTGAGATAAAGAGTTTTGAGTTTCATAAAAACATGTCAATTAAGGGTTTCTTGAGATCAATTTGTCATTAACCTATAATTTCTTTTAATTATATTAATGTTTCGTGTTAAAGAACTTTTATTAAAGGATAAGTTCCAATAAGGTTTTAATTTTAAATGTGAGTGAACTTTATTTTTAATTTGGCCTCAAATGTTCCCATTAATCATGTTTTAAAATAAATTTTCTAACAATTTTTCACATAAATAAAAACTTTCTGACTAGTATATAAAGACTCAAATATTCGTAGAGATATAATGATTTGATGGATCATTATATCAGATAGGAAGCTCGTTGATTAGTACTTAAAAAAACATTTTTATCAAGGTTTTATATCATTATTTTGCACTTGAAGTATCAATAATTCCTTAACTAAAGCATGTTTTATAATAACATATCTAATAATATAAGTGTTTAGTACTTAAAAGTGTATTTTTATTAAGGTCTTACTATCATCATTTTGCACTTGAAGTATCAATAACTCCTTAACTAAAACATGTTTTATAATAACATATCTAATAATATAAGATAC